ACATCGACCTGATATATCAATGATCTACTGACGATCTATCAATTGCCTTGACCGGATTAAGATTTCACACCGAAGGATTAGAGCTGATCCGTTGAAGCACCATCTAGAGCATGTCTATTCTAATAGCTTAGAATCCTGAAATATGCGACTCCTCTAAGTGCCTTAATGAAACTCCAATTCATTTATTTAAACCCCGACTGCTTTAGCCTGCTACCATTTTTTTAAATAGGTAATTTATTCGAGTGCCATTCAAAGCGTTTAGGCTTGCAAAGCTTTGTGCGCCCAGTTGTGACGCCTTAGTGATCTAACTACCCGCAAGGCTATAGCTAAGTTAGCGCATTTTGTTTTGCAATTCGTTAGGTTAACTGATCTACCGAAAAAAAGGTTGGGAACAATTAGCTGAATAAGTCTGGTAGGACGGTGTTACGCCCCCAACAAAGACAGACACCGGAGACAATGGATCCCATTCTTTGATAGAGATTTCAGTTTTTTTTGTGGAATGGGTTTGGGTCTAACACTCGTAAGACGGAGCCATATTCTAATGCAACTTTCACTTTCTGTGAGGGAATAAGTAATCGATATTTTGTGAGGGGTAAACATGCGGGTCGATTACTGTGTACATATTTGAACTGGGGAAAGATTGATATTGTAAACAGCATGTACGAGAATCGATACCGTTAGCATGTATGACGTCAGAGCACACCATGTAGGGAATAGCCAGACAAGATTAGTACTGAAAGGCCATGAAACTAGTACTGAAAGGCCATAAAACTAGTACTGAAAAGCCATAAAAATATTACTGAAAGGCCATGAAACTATTGATGAAAGGCTATGCAACTTGACTGAAAAGCCGTCAAACTAGTACTGAAAGGCCATGAAACTAGTACTGAAAAGCCATCAAACAGTACTGAAAAGCCATCAAACGTGTACTGAAAGGCAATGAAACTAGTATTGAAAGGCCATGAAATTAGTACTGAAAGGCCACGAAAATTGTAATGAAAAACCACGAAACTAGTACTAAAAGTTCATGAAACTAGGACTAAAAGGCCATCAAACTAGTAGTAAAAAGCCATGAAACTAGTACTGAAAGGCCATGAAACTTGTGCTGAAAGTCCATAAAACTATTGAAACCTGTGTAAAAACTCAAGGAATTGTTTTGAAAGGCCATGTGACATGCAGAGTTTACATCAGTGCAAGGATCATTTTCCTAACACACAAGGATGTCTTTCTATGCGAAATTTTGAGTTTTCATTAGTGCCATTCCATAAATGGATTGCAAACTATGGAAACAAAACAATTCATTTAAAATATAAATTATTTCTTGAATATGATTATATTTCTTTTTTTCAAAAGCACTAAAACCCATGAAACAATGTTGGTGCTAAAACGAAATAAAGCGGGAGTTATCTCCCTAAACTTTCTCGAATTCACTTATATAAGATTACGGGGATGGCAACTCGGGATATAGACATGATTTTTAATCAATTTTTAATTACTTAAATTTTTAAAAATAGAATAGAATATGGTAGAACATAGAATTGCGCATCAAGAAAACAGAAAACAATGCGCGTATAATAGTGCGGAATTCAATTCTTTATAAATACATATTCTTTTTTTGAGAAATCAAAACTAGCGTTAAGTACTACTTTCGGTATACGGAAATTACTCAAAATTTGAAACAAGACAGATAATTAGATCTTTTACTTATATGTGAATTTTCGTCTATATATCTTAAACAGTGCTCAAGTTATAAGCTTTTGAAAAATCAAAAGTAGAATAATTTCTACTTCCGGTTACCGGAAATTGCTCAAAAATCGATACAGAACTACAAATTTGATGTTATACTTATATATGAAATTTCATCAACCTAGCTGTAACTGTACTCAAGTTTTCGTGTTCACAGACTACATACATACACACGGACAGAATTACAAAGCCCAGATTTTCCGACTCGGTTACGCGTAAAACGCCGAAATTTTGATAAATCTGGATTTAGAATTTTTACCAGATTCTCCACTATATTCCGCATATGATGAAGTTCTGAGAAGTGAAACGGTGAAAACTGTCAAAATTTTAAGTGATTTTTTTTGCACGATTACAATACTTCCTCTATACTCTGTGTACGAGAAAGTAAACAGTGACACCTTTGTCATTTCCATAAAAATCCATTTAAAATACACCAAAAGGACTAATGACTCCCATGTAATTAGTTCTCTTACGACACCAATCAAAACGTAGCCAATTTTTAAGCTCCACATTTAGACGCCCGGGGCGTACACTTACGTCCCACCGATTCATTTTCGATCTAGAAGTGCCACGGCCCCCCCCCCCCCACCCAATGAATGCTGACACCCCACACTTAATATCGACATACACTGTGATTTATCGCGAGAGTGACCGCGCGCATCGATCATTGAAAAGGTTAGTTTCATTAGAATCACTGCGTGTTGAAGTCTTACGGTAAAAATGACAGCGTTTGGGGTAAAAAAAAAAAAAACGTTGACAATTATAGAGCTAGGAAAAAGGCACTTTTCTGACGAACTTCTTAAAAAATTCTCAGTCAAGAGGACTTCTAATCAGGCCCAACCCTAGTCGTTAAGGGGGAGGGAGGGGGAAGGTTGCTGCAGGATCTATAAGAAGAAACAGTTTGTCTAAAGGTGTTAAGTGAAAAAAGTGGACCAAAATCTCTCAAGCTTGAAGTCCTAGTCGAAGAGACTTAGAAACGGTTGAAGGCTGACCCGTTTTATATAGCCAATGGTGCGAGGTTGTGACGTTTGTAGAAGATGTAAACACCACGTGACTGAGTTGCCAGGTACGTTGCCGCTTTTAAGGCCGAAAATTGGGGCTTTTATTTGAACCAAATAAAGAAAGGAACAAAATACTCCGTAATCTAACGTTTAGAGAGCGAGAGTTTGATTTATTTCAAGCAATACAAACAGAAACCCGCCTTAAAGAAATCCTTTGTGCAAATACCGGGAAGAGGAAGAGTTAACATACGTCTATAAATGGTGGTAGATAAAAGGTTAATATACGTCTATAAATGGTGGTAGATAAAAGGTTAACATACGCCTATAAATGGTTGAGCTGTGGGGTTGTGGAGGTGTTGGGTGGTGGAGGTGTTGGGTGGTGGAGATGTTGGGTGGTGGAGGTGTTGGGTGGTGGAGGTGTTGGGTGGAGGAGGTGTTAGGTGGTGGAGGTGTTGGGTGGTGGAGGTGTTGGGTGGAGGTGTTGGGTGCTGAAGGTGTTGGGTGGTGGAGGTGTTGGGTGGTGGAGGTGTTGGGTGGTGGAGGTGTTGGGTGGTGGAGGTGTTGGGTGGTGGAGGTGTTGGGTGGTGGAGGTGTTGGGTGGAGGAGGTGTTAGGTGGTGGAGGTGTTGGGTGGTGGAGGTGTTGGGTGGAGGTGTTGGGTGCTGAAGGTGTTGGGTGGTGGAGGTGTTGGGTGGTGGAGGTGTTAGGTGGTGGAGGTGTTGGGTGGTGGAGGTGTTGGGTGGTGAAGGTGTTGGGTGTTGGAGGTGTTGGGTGGTGGAGGTGTTGGGTGGAGGAGGTGTTAGGTGGTGGAGGTGTTGGGTGGTGGAGGTGTTGGGTGGAGCTGTTGGGTGGAGGAGGTGTTGGGTGGAGGTGTTGGGTGGAGGAGGTGTTGGGTGGTGGAGGTGGAGGTTGGTGGAGGTGTTGGGTGGAGGTGTTGGGTGGAGGTGTTGGGTGGTGGAGGTGTTGGGTGGAGGTGTTGGGTGGAGGTGTTGGGTGGAGGTGTTGGGTGGTGGAGGTGTTGGGTGGAGGTGTTAGGTGCTGGAGGTGTTGGGTGGTGGAGGTGTTGGGTGGTGGAGGTGTTGGGTGGTGGAGGTGTTGGGTGGTGGAGGTGTTGGGTGGAGGAGGTGTTAGGTGGTGGAGGTGTTGGGTGGTGGAGGTGTTGGGTGGAGCAGTTGGGTGCTGGAGGTGTTGGGTGGAGGAGGTGTTAGGTGGTGGAGGTGTTGGGTGGTGGAGGTGTTGGGTGGAGCTGTTGGGTGGAGGAGGTGTTGGGTGGAGGTGTTGGGTGGTGGAGGTGTTGGGTGGTGGAGGTGTTGGGTGGAGGAGGTGTTAGGTGGTGGAGGTGTTGGGTGGTGGAGGTGTTGGGTGGAGCTGTTGGGTGGAGGAGGTGTTGGGTGGAGGTGTTGGGTGGTGGAGGTGTTGGGTGGAGGAGGTGTTGGGTGGTGGAGGTGTTGGGTGGTGGAGGTGTTGGGTGGAGCTGTTGGGTGGAGGAGGTGTTGGGTGGAGGTGTTGGGTGGTGGAGGTGTTGGGTGGAGGAGGTGTTGGGTGGTGGAGGTGTTGGGTGGTGGAGGTGTAGGGTGGTGGAGGTGTTGGGTGGTGGAGGTGTTGGGTGGAGGAGGTGTTGGGTGGAGGTGTTGGGTGGTGGTGTTGGGTGGTGGAGGTGTTAGGTGGTGGAGGTGTTGGGTGGAGGAGGTGTTGGGTGGTGGAGGTGTTGGGTGGTGGAGGTGTTGAGTGGTGGAGGTGTTGGGTGGTGGAGGTGTTGGGTGGTGGAGGTGTTGGGTGGTGGAGGTGGTGGAGGTGTTGGGTGGTGGAGGTGTTGGGTGGTGGAGGTGTTGGGTGGAGCTGTTGGGTGGTGGAGGTGTTGGGTGGTGGAGGTGTTGGGTGGTGGAGGTGTTGGGTGGTGGTGTTGGGTGGTGGAGGTGTTGGGTGGTGGAGGTGTTGGGTGGTGGAGCAGTTGGGTGGTGGAGGTGTTGGGTGGTGGAGGTGTTGGGTGGTGGTGTTGGGTGGTGGAGGTGTTAGGTGGTGGAGGTGTTGGGTGGAGGAGGTGTTGGGTGGTGGAGGTGTTGGGTGGTGGAGGTGTTGGGTGGTGGAGGTGTTGGGTGGTGGAGGTGTTGGGTGGTGGAGGTGTTGGGTGGTAGAGGTGTTGGGTGGTGGAGGTGTTGGGTGTAGTATCAGGTAGTGATGATGATGGAACTATGTTACGTTGTGGTCTACTCTCCAATAGAGACCATGTTTTGATAGACACACATCCACTAACCTGTGTTGACACAAGGAAGAAGAAATATGGACAGCTAACAGACGTCTAAAACGGTTAGTAACTCAAACCCAGCCCACAAACATTGACACAGCTCTCGTGCTTGGCCCAGTTTGCCCATACAGAAAGTTATGGCGTGTTTGTATGTCCTGAAGGTCTAGAGAAATTACCCGCATACTGATGCCACATACAATACATTCAGCTATGGCCGCCCTTTATTTAGATACAATACAAATATGGTACACTATGTCTGATTAATTATCTTCCTGTATTGAAAGATTTGCACTGAACAGCAAGTTTATCTCTTGTTAATATCGTGTGTTGTGGTTTTATACAGTGACGGAGTGGTAACCATAGGCAAGGAAAGTAACCGTTACTGACTAATCAATTAGGATAAATAGTACAAAAGTTGCGAAATAAAATTTTTTTTTTCAACACCAGCTTTAGCAAGAATTACTTTTCTTAATCTTAGAACTATTTTATAAGGAATATTTTAAAACTTCTACCAACTGAAAATAATTTTGATGTCAGCTGTCGCTCAAATAATGTCAGGCTAAAGTGACGTCAGCTAACAGCTACGTTTAATGTTTAAATACTATTTATCTCGTGCAGGTTAACGTTTTATATCAGTTTACTCACCGCCATTTTATTCAATGACGTAAGTCATTTAATATTTATTGTTTAGTAGTTTATCTAGAAAAGTATAATGTAAGTACTAAAAGATTGACCCTAGGCTAACTTTACAGTAAAAACTAACAGATAGTCCCACTACCAACTTTACAGTAAAAACTAACAGATAGTCCCAGTACTAACTTTACAGTAAAAACTAACAGATAGACCCACTACCAACTTTTATAAACTGACAGATAAACCCACTACCAACCTTATAAACTGACAGATAGACCCACTACCAACTTTATAAACTGACAGATAGACCCACTACCAACTTTATAAACTGACAGATAGACCCACTACCAACTTTATAAACTGACAGATAGACCCACTACCAACTTTATAAACTGACAGATAGACAAACCATTCCGTAGTCAGCACGTCTAAACAAGCGATTATGTGCCCAACAAAACAAAAGAGCAAAATGGATGATACATACGATACACTAAAGATCTACTGCCAAGAATAGATCAAACATCACACAGTAAAGATCTACTGCTAAAATAGATAAAACATTACATTAAAGTTTTGAGGTGTAATGTAATCAAATAAAATCGGTATCGATTTTTTTATTAAAGTGATTGATGGAGTGGCAGCTTGAGATGTAGGGAAGTGCTAGGAGGTTGGGTGCTAGGGGGTTGGTGCTGGGGGTAGGTGCTAGGGGGTGGGTGCTGGGGGTAGGTGCTAGTGAGTAGGTGCTAGGGGGTTGGGTGCTAGGGGGTTGGTGCTGGGGGTGTGTGCTAGGGGATAGGTGCTAGGGGGTCGGTGCTAGAAGGGTGTGGATGCTAGGGGTGTAGGTGCTAAGGGGTGGGTGCTAGTTTATGGGTGCTTAGAGAGTAAGTGCTAGGGAGGTGGGTGCTTGGGGGGTGGGTGCTAAGGGGTTAGGTGGTAGGAGGAGGGTGTTAAGGGTTATGAACACTAACTACCACGATGGTCATCAGGTGCTAGTAACATCAAAGCCTTATACAAGTTTTTCAAAATATGAAGCAGCTGAACTCTTCAGCTATAAAGACCAAACAAACAACAACAAAAAAAATCATACAACAGGCCAATTGTGCTGTTGAATTTATGCGACAGTATGTAGTGTACTGTGTGTTACGTTGCTGTATGTAACTGTGTGTGAATGTGTATGACGGTGCTGTATGTGACTGTGTGACGTGCTGTATGTGACTGTATCTGACTGTGTATGACAGTGCTGTATGTGACTGTATGACGGTGCTGTATGTGACTGTATGACGGTGCTGTATGTGACTGTATGACGGTGCTGTATGTGACTGTGTGTGGCTGTGTATGACGGTGCTGTATGTGACTGTATGACAGTGCTGTATGTGACTGTGTGTGACTGGGCTGTGTGTAACTGTGAGTGACTGTATGACGGTGCTGTATGTGACTGTGTGTGGCTGTGTATGACGGTGCTGTATGTGACTGTATGACAGTGCTGTATGTGACTGTGTGTGACTGGGCTGTATGTAACTGTGAGTGACTGTATGACGGTGCTGTATGTGACTGTGTGTGACTATGATGGTGCTGTATACGACTGTATGACGGTGCTGTATGTGACTGTATGTGACTATGTATGACGGTGCTGTATGTGACTGTATGACGGTGCTGTATGTGACTGTATGACGGTGCTGTATGTGACTGTATGTGACTATGTATGACGGTGCTGTATGTGACTGTATGACGGTGCTGTATGTGACTGTGTATGACGGTGCTGTATGTGACTGTGTGTGACTGTGCTGTATGTGACTGTATGACGGTGCTGTATGTGACTGTATGACGGTGCTGTATGTGACTGTATGACGGTGCTGTATGTGACTGTATGACAGTGCTGTATGTGACTGTGTGTGACTGTGTGACGGTGCTGTATGTGACTGTATGACGGTGCTGTATGTGACTGTGTGTGACTGTGTATGACGGTGTTGTATGTGATTGTGTGTGACTGTGTATGACGGTGTTGTATGTGATTGTGTGTGACGGTGCTGTATGTGACTGTATGACGGTGCTGTATGTGACGGTGCTGTATGTGACTGTATGACGGTGCTGTATGTGACTGTATGTGACTGTATGACGGTGCTGTATGTGACGGTGCTGTATGTGACTGTATGACGGTGCTTTATGTGACTGTATGACGGTGCTGTATGTGACTGAATGACGGTGCTGTATGTGACTGTATGACGGTGCTGTATGTGACTGTATGACAGTGCTGTATGTGACTGTATGACGGTGCTGTATGTGACTGTATGACAGTGCTGTATGTGACTGTATGTGACTGAATGACGGTGCTGTATGTGACTGTATGACGGTGCTGTATGTGACTGTATGACAGTGCTGTATGTGACTGTATGACGGTGCTGTATGTGACTGTATGACAGTGCTGTATGTGACTGTATGTGACTGAATGACGGTGCTGTATGTGACTGTATGACAGTGCTGTATGTGACTGTATGACAGTGCTGTATGTGACTGTATGACGGTGCTGTATGTGACTGTATGACAGCGCTGTATGTGACTGTATGTGACTGAATGACGGTGCTGTATGTGACTGTATGACGTGCTGTATGTGACTGTATGTGACTGTGTATGACGGTGCTGTATGTGACTGTATATGACGGTGCTGTATGTGACTGTATGACGGTGCTGTATGTGACTGTATGACGGTGCTGTATGTGACTGTATGACGGTGCTGTATGTGACTGTGTGACGGTGCTGTATGTGACTGTATGACGGTGCTGTATGTGGCTGTATGACAGTGCTGTATGTGACTGTATGTGACTGAATGACGGTGCTGTATGTGACTGTATGACGGTGCTGTATGTGACTGTATATGACGGTGCTGTATGTGACTGTATGACAGTGCTGTATGTGACTGTGTGTGACTGTGTGACAGTGCTGTATGTGACTGTATGTGACTGAATGACGGTGCTGTATGTGACTGTGTGTGACGGTGCTGTATGTGACTATTTGTGACGGTGCCTTGTGTGAGTGTTACGGTCCTTTGTACGACGGTGTCTGACATTGATGTGACGTGCTATATGTGATGATGTAGGATGCGCTGTGTGATGTGTTATGTGTGACTGTATTGTGTGTCCTCCTGACACAAATGTATCCGGGTACATCTCCTAGAAGAAATACACAGCCGTTGCGGTTTTGGAAAGGGGGTGGGAGAGGGGGGTATGGAGAGGGGGGGGGGAGACCGAACGAAATCCTTTACCTGCAACTACATTCAATTCAACTGTGATTAACATAAAGTAATGCAATTTGCACAACAATATATCTGCTTAAGCATGACGAATGGCAAATGTTTTAAGGTTATTTATTGTAGTTTATTAATAGCACATGCTAGTAGAATGGGCTCGTAAATGTCAATGGTGTTAGATACATCATGTCGGCTTAGGTTGGGTTACCGTACAGGTTTGAGTTGATACACTTTAAACCTGTTGCTACACTTATAATGTGTTGTTACACTTTAAACCTGTTGTTATACTTTAAACCTGTTGCTACACTTTAAACCTGTTGCTACACTTTAAACCTGTTGCTACACTTTAAACCTGTTGCTACACTTTAAATCTGTTGCTACACTTTAAACCTGTTGTTACACTTTAAACCTGTTGTTACACTTTAAACCTGTTGCTACACTTTAAACCTGTTGTTACACTTTCAACCTATTGCTATACTTTAAACCTGTTGCTATACTTTAAACCTGTTGCTACACTTTAAACCTGTTTTACACTTTAAACCTATTGCTACACTTTAAACATGTTGCTACACTTTAAACCTGTTGCTTCACTTATAATCTGATGTTACGCGATAAACCTGTGGCTACACTTTTAACCTGTTGTACATTTTGAACCTGTTTTCACACACTTTAAACATGCTGTTACACGATAAACCTCTGTGCGTTCCCCTCCATTAAGACCCCCAATAACTCTTCTTAATTTGGTTTGCTACGTTTTGTTTCGGCTGATATTCCACGATTTCTTTTTACAATGATGCGGGGGGGGGGGGGTCTAAAGCATAGTATCCTCCTTGTTACAAAGTCCTTTACCCACAATCCCTGACTAAGTTCAACATGTTACAATCATTAGATTGTTACATACCACGCCCGTATGGCGCCAAGTAACACAGAGAGAACGATACAGCTAATAAAGCTAAATTAAGATTCTAAACGCCATAAGTGGAAATAGGTTCTAAACGAATTCACATTTTATCTGACGATAACAAGTACCTTATCTGTTACATCTAAATATATTAACACATTTAAATGTAGGTCATTCAGTATCGATAGAAATAAAGAAAAACAAAAGTGAATACCGCGACTTGTTGCGATAAAAACTCACCATTTTTATCTGCGGTTATCCAGCTGAGTATGTATGTGTTTGTAAACAACAGGTCCGTGCAAATAGACAAATAGTACAAAGTCCGAGACACACA